CTCCACCACCGCCTCATACACCGCATCCTGCGTGAGGGCATCCCACTCCAGCACCACCCCCGCCCCACCCTTCGCCAGCGTCTTGAGGTTCATGCTCTGATCCGCCCCGATCGGGATCCCGACCACCGGCACTCCGTGGTACGTCGCCTCCTGCAGGCTCAGGATGCCTCCGTGCGTGATGAACGCCTTGATGTTCTTGTGACCTGGAATCGTCACCGTTGCGTTCTGTCACCGTCGCGTTCAAAATTTGCACGCTGATTTCTGGGCCAAAATTTCTGGTCAGAGCTCTGGGCAGTACCGAGAAGTACTCGCAGGAGTTCCTTCCGGTTCGTCTCGCCCGAAAAATAAAGTCACATTCGAATACTGTGCCAATTATTGCCAATTATCGAGTTTTTGCCAATTGGGCGCCGAGCTGCAATTATGTCCGACAACTTCGGCGGAAAGCGCGATCGGCCGCGAAGGTCTCGGGCTGCTGAGATCCCTGGCCTCTTACGTACAAAAAATTTGCAAAAAATATTGCAGAAAATTTTGCAAAAAAGGGGGGGGAACAGGTGGGTGGATGCGTCTTCGCTCTGGGTGGATGAATGTATCTTGACGTTGGGTGGATGTTGGCTGTGGAGGAATGCATCTTGGCGCTGGGTGGATGTGGATGTCGTAGGGCTCATTTGGGTTTTCTTCGTAGCTTCAGGGAGAATGCGGTGAGGAGGTCGAGGTTGATGAGGGACGAGATGAATTCTCCGCTGGAACGAGCCGTCTTCTGGACGGAGTACGTCATCAGGCACAAGGGGGCGGGGCATCTCAAGTCGGGGGCGGTGCAGCTGTCGTGGTGGCAGTACTTGATGCTGGACGTGCTGGGGCTGACGGTACTCGTGGTCGCGGCGGTCCTGCTGGTCTGCTACGCCGCGATTCGACTCATGTGCGCGGGGGTCGCGGGGCTGGTGGGGATGGTGGGGCCGAGGGCGAAGTGCCTCATTCACTGCCATCGGTGACGCGGTCGCGCGGGCATCGGTGACCCGGTGCGGACCGGGTGGTAACGTCGCTGTGATCCGGCATCCCTGCTTCCTAGTCGCCTGGCCTCGGCGGTGGGTTTTTAAATGCCCTGTCGAAGCCTGACCCCCAACGTGCAGAACGTCCGTGGATGACCGATTCCTTCGTGTGTTGCGTGAGATTGTTTGGTATTTTTTTGTATCAAATAGCGATGATATTTTTGACTTTCGCTTCTTTTTTTTGAGCTGAGACCGTTGTCTACGTTTTTTTGTATGGAATTTCTTTGATTATGTTCTTTATTTTAGCTTCTTTTTTTGCGATTTGAAGAATTGTCTACTTTTTGTATCAAACAAAGATTATATTCTTGACTTACGCCTTTTTATGTCGCAAATTGCCATTGCCTTTGGCTGGCCGGAAAGTCCAATTTCATAAGCGAACGATCATTTCCACTATGATTTTATTAAGGCCTCAAGTGAATGACACACAAGCATAAATCACATTGAAAAGACAAACGAGTCCCAAGATGCAATCACTTGCGCACTTCCAACAGTTCAAGATTCTCCTGGTCAACAACTAACAACCTTTCTGGCATCACTGCACAGAAATGATTCCACAACTAGGCATTACTCTCTGTGCCACCCCAACGAGACTCAATAGAACTTTCGAGATTTAAAGGGAACCACGCAGATGATCACAGACGATCGAGTGCTACGGGCACGCGAGTGCATGCAACAGAGCGACAGCAACCCCATGGACTCGTTTCATCTCTGCCAGAAGGCTAGCAACACTCCATATATTCCTTGACACCATCTCACAAATGACAAATCACTATCATCATGACAGTGATGATCACGTTTCATTATCACTTGCATTTCACAGAGTGAAACATTTACTTCTCGCGCATCTCACGTTTGGGTGAAGTACCCATCCGCGAGGGGCACCCGAGTCATCTCACTTCGGGCGAGGGGCACCTGAGTCGTCTCACTTCGGGTGAGGGGCACCCGAGTCATCTCACTTCGGGTGAGGGGCACCCGAGTCCTCTCACTTCGGGTGAGGGGCACCCGAGTCGGTCGGTGGGAATTCGACCTTTTGTTCAATGAGGCCAGTCTGCAGAGTGGGGGGGAGAGGGGACGAGACGAGTGGATGGGACCCTGCAGATGTTCCAGTTTCCAGAGGAAGCAGCTCTGCATTCACCTGAATGAGTCTGTGCAAACCACGCATGCTTCAAATGGAAACTCGAGGGGGCGATCTCATTCCAGCATTTCACCAATTGACCCTTTTCTATTGAATGCAAGCTGTGCAACCAATTTTTCTCAAAATGGAGATCAGGTAAGAAAAACAAATCCTTTTGAAACTTCTCTGCCTATCCAGCCTATAAACCACACTGAAAATAAATTTCAATAAAATGCTTATTGACACTCCCCGGAAGTCAACCTCGTCGTTCCTCGTCACGAAGCCGAGACGAAGACGCTTGATATTCGAGCCTAAAAATGCTTGAGCAAAAAGATTCTCATCTCATCATAAGTACAGCTGGTACAGGGCCTTTACTTCAACCCACTGGACCAAGAAAGATTCAGTGGAGACTCAGAACCTTTTCAATGCCACAATCGAACTCTCAGTTGACGGTACAAAGTCCTATTGGCATGCCTAGAACTGATCAGCAACAGGAAACATCACAACACAGTTTGTTCCTGCAAGGGGTGTTCCTAAACTCAACCATAACCTTGCCGTTTTAAAGAGTCGGGTAATAGAGACACCCTGGGAATGAGGCTGCCTCAAGAAATCACAAAAAACAACTAAAACCAAGCCAAGTCCTCTCATCCCCATCATAGATACATTCATGGCATTCTGTTCCATGAAACAGAGTATAGACATCAATGAAGTCATCCCACAACCTAAGATCTTGAATTTGGAATTACCACTCAGCAAAGAGGACCTGTAGTAGAGATGGAGGAGATTCCACTCGGTCATCTCGCCACTCATTACGCATTGCTACAGTCAAGATGGCCTTTTAGCTGGAAATTTTTATTGGGAATGAAGAAAAGGGTCTTGTGATTGATGGTACTTCTGTCTATGAAGACCAAATAAGGTAAAAGAAACTTGGCAGCAGTGGCACGTAGGACAAAAATAAACTATTTAATAGGAACAAAAAGCTGGAAACAAAACTTGAAAAACCAACAGACCAAGTAAGAACTGTATCACAATGCCCAACAAGACAAGGGAAACTACACTTTCATTGCAAAAATTATCTTGGAGAAATTGTCCATAGCAGCTGGACAGGTTCACTTACTTGCTCTGGATATGCTTCTTTCTCATTCAGACTTCACAATTTCCCAAGTTTTGATAATGACCTGGTTCTGAGTTAACACAGCATTACCCCATCCATTATGGACATTCCAAGAAGAAACCGTTGCATATCTTTTCAAGTTAAAAGTCACCAGCAGTAACCAACCACTTCACCCATTGTTGCTGAACGATGTATGAAAGTCAACATACCCAGGTAAGGCAAACAGATACTTGGTGACATGTGGTGATTCTTATACCCAAAGTCTTGCTCCCTTCCCATTGTGGGCAAAACCTCACATGCAACTGTCTGTTCTGTGTGCCACACTGTGGCTACCTACAGTGAAACCTATCTCTCTAACATGGAACAAACAGAACTGCAGGATCAGTTCGCACACCTTTGTGGATTTCTACGAAGTGTCAGTCCAACTTGAGGTGCACCAGGGAGTGAACGTCGACGTCGACCCCCCGAAGCTTGGCGTCGTCGACTAAGCTCTTCATGCGGGGGAGGATCGATCGAGGATCTCGCCTCGGCAGCCTCGGACACTAGAAAACGATGAAGCGTCACTGTCAAGGCTATCCAGCACTTGCTTGCTGTGAGAAGTCATGAATGTTTAGAGTAGCATGAGGCCAAGAATCCAAAAACAATGGTGATACAAAGTAATTTTTTAAGCATGCATAAACCAAAGGGAAAGCTTCTGTGGTTTCATGCATGAACATTATTGAGTGGTTCAGAACAAAGCAAACATGCATTTCATACTCTCTGTAAACTGTGCAATCAGTAACAACAGGAGATTTGTGAATGAAAGATATGGAAATGAACCAACTTTCACTATCACACCCTACTGTGATTACATGCCTTTTTTTTTTCCCCCCATCAGTATGAAATCGAAACAATGGCTAGTGCCACTGGGACTCACTCCATTCAGACGTCTCAATTCCTCTGCACGAGGGAGCAGTTCCTCGATCTTCTCCAGACGATCTTCGTGCGAAGGATGGGTCGAAAAGAACTTTTTGGTCTCCTCGGTCATTTCCTCTTTCTCCTGTAGCATCATGATGCCCCAAAACACCGATGCTTCGCGGATATCGTAGCAAGCCTGTCGATGGGAACCAAAAATATCAAGGATTACAATACCTAAGGTATTTCATGATAACCTGTGTTAAATACAGATTGCAATGAGACATCATGAAAGGATCAGCTCCAACATCACTTCTAGGGTATATGTGCCTGAAGACATGAAATAAACTGCATCCTGTCTGGATGAAATTTGAGAAATTTTTTCAAGTATGGTGTTATTATCAGGCTGTTCTCGGGATTAACATTGGTTGCCTCATGCATGAAACTAGGATTTTTCCAGTACTCTCGTGCTGAATATCACTCCAAATTCTGATGGCCCTGGGGTCCCAGTGTGGAAGACTATAGAAACAACCAAGCCCCGAATGAACTGCAGTCCAACTTGGACTCCATGGACATGGGTGGCTCAAACAATACTCACTCAGTTCTTCAAGGTGCAAGTAGGTAAAAATTTGTGTGCAATGTGTGTCATGGCAGTCTCATTTACTCTGACAAGAATATCTCAAAAGAATAGGGGAGAAAACAAAGGACACCTGTGGATCTCCCATCTGCAGGAAAGTAATTTTAGCTGTCAGTTTCAACAATCAAATGGTACTCTTAAGAGAGTTCTACAACCTTCAATAGACAATGGAGCAAGACATAATACCTATGTTTGATCTGATCAAGTGAGCCAAATCAATTATTGCATTTTGACCAGAAATTCCTATTGAAGATGAGAAAATCCCAAGACTCCTCTTCCATGATAGCCAAAAAAGCAGGCAAAAGTAAATCAAGCACAAACTTTTGCAGCGAGGAGAAGTCCGACGCCGTCGGCTTCGGACTCGAGGCTCCTGCTGTAAGGGAGAGACATGAAGAATTCGAGAGCCAGCTCCCCCAGGGACTGGGAGAGAACCGCAAAGATGTCGGCAGGAATGAGCATCCAGAGCAGCAGGACGGGGAGGAGGAGGAAGATCTGAAGGAGATGGGCTTGACTCAGCAGCTCTTTCTGTGGGGGAAGCAAAGAGAATGGATTTCACGAGTTTTTCTGCTTCACGACTTCATTTGACTCGGTGATGGTGGGAAGAATGAGCTGATGGTCTGTCACATTTGACATTGATCAATGTAACAACCCTCTAGCCAACATTTACAGCCCTTCCATCAATGAAAAAATATAATCAGCAGCATTTCACTATTTTAACATCCAGCCCCAATTTCTTCAGACGCCAAGAGCGGCATCTGAAAAATGTATGCTGTCTTTCAGTACTTGCATCAGCAGGAAGTTTCACTTGTTGTAGGGAATATCACCTTCTCATGTCTTTGGTACTAATGCAGGTGAAACAACCTAGACAAAAATAGACCTTCACAGATGAGAAAGGTATGAAGGAAAATACAAGCAAAAAATGTTTATATTAAACCCTTGAAGGGCTCAGGTGACTTATCAAGTGCAGGCAGGTGGTGAGGAGGAAAAAGTTGTAACAGTAGCAAAGATGGTAATGATACCCATCCTTACCACTGACTAACCGTGTGGCCAATGAGGGCATGGGACATTTCGTGAGCCAACACGACGGCAAGCCGATCATCGTTGGGGCACACGTCCAGGAGACCTCGGAAGGCACAGATCCAACCGTTCTGGAAGAAAGATATCAAGATGTTCAGGACTTCGAAAATGACTTTAGACACACAAAAGCTTCAAAAAATTTCATTAGGGTCATAAATTTAAGGCAACACAGAAAGCTCCTACCATATTTGGCTGAAATTCTAACATCTCAAAATAAATAAATAAATTTCTTAAAGAGCTTCACAGTACTTTGTTTGTGGTGTACAATGTTGTGGCACTTCCAGCTTTGGAATGACTCTTACCTATTATATGATCATCACAAAGCAGTGAGAAAGACAAATTTTCATCCATGATATGAAAATCAACTGCATGTACAGATGCATAATAAAATTAAATAGTTATTGGCATTACATGGAAATCACATAAAAATCAGAAAATATGTCCTTAATAAAATTCCTTGAAGAAACACATTAAAATGAATAATAATAATAAATAAAGAGTCAGGCACAAATGCCCCATTTCATTCAAATTTGAAAAAAAAAAAGACTTCTGTTGACTCACAGGCATAACAAATGCCTGAACTTGTGGGTCATTGATGACAGTGACGTGCCACTCCCTCTGGAGCCCCTCGACGTCTTTGTTGGCGCGAACGAGACGCACCACCACATCTCTCACCCGAGCGTACAGGGGATGTCCTGCAGGCACAATGGAACCCCTCAGTTTTTCTTGAACCTATGTATAGAAAATAATTTTCATGGATGTGTATAAATGCAGGAGCATACCACATTTTTTCTTGAATTAGACAGGATGGAATGGATGGAGTCAAAATGACAGTAATAAATTATTACTTTTTCCTGATATCAGAATTTTGACATGAACTCATCCTTTAAGAACTTGAACTCTATTTGTTAGTGATGTTGAAAAAATCCACGGCCAAAAATAACTTCAGATGTAATGTATATCATATGGAAGTATGTCACCTGGACATATTACACATCTATTCCTTTCCCCCAAGAAGCCACGTGACTTCATCAGTTTCACCTTGTTCTCTGTATATCTCCCTAACAGATGGTCCAATACATGCAATTTTTTTTAAATGACTATCATCCATCATGACCCACAGTTTAAGCTTAAGTTGCAAAAATCCAGCTTAAAGCCAATCACCAGTCTAATAGTACAATGCTCCCCTCACCCATGCATTGCGATAGCTACATCTTTCTATTTCATATTTAAAACTGTGAAATACCACATTGACACATGTTGAATGATCCCATTGCATTACGAATTGCTCCCAAAAACAGTTATTTAAATGCCCATCATAATGACATGGTGAGATTTTAATCTCCAACCAGAGTGCTACCCAAGCTCCTCATGGATCTCTGATTCCTAACCTATTAAATTTCTGCATCACATAAGTTATTCATTCCATAATGCAATTCCTTTAAACACTGATTCTCCACCATCATCAAATACATATAAAGACACAAAAAAAAAGGAAAATTCACCTGTTGAGCTTCAAGTTGAGCAATCTCTTCAACAGTTTTGTCCGAAAAAAGGACAAACCGCTTCCTTCGAGTCACTGGGGCCTCCTCCAAATTCATGAAATACACGGCTGCCAGGCCAGACGTGACGGAAACACATCCACCTGTAGAAACAAAAGTCTTCATTCAGACATTCATGTTTTGATCATGCTGTGCAAGAGGAGCTCGGCAGGCAGATGCAGAAAGAAGAGAATTAATGTGGAGTAGAAATAATGGAGATTTAAAAACAATTGTATGAATCATAATCATGGTATTATAGTAACTGGCATGGGCATAATTGGAAAAAGCCATTTCACACTACCATTCTTACAGCCTGTTCTCCCAAGACACTGAAAGTAATTTTAGGTAAGCAAATGGGCTATTCAGTGCATCAAATTTGATGAATGATTAATGGAAAATGAGGGGTATGAATATGTTTTCAGGGAGAGACCTGTCCTGGATAGGGCATGTTACATGGGAACTGGAAGAGAGTGATAAAGGATTAAAGTGAGAGGGAATCAGTTTTTATCTGCACTCAAGATGATCATCAATTCGGGTATAGAGGACTGAGAGGAAGAGAACTGGAGAAAGAATAGAGGCATTTAGTGGAATTCATGAAAAAGCAAGAAATATGGAGGATGGAATATGTTCCAATGTGGCAATGTGCAATGAGCAGTGAGCAAATGAGTGTGCTTCACCCACTAGTCCCAGTGGTCAGCACCACCACTGCGGCCTGGCATCCCTCAATCCCTGCTGAGAATTAATTCCAGGTTAGAGGTCCAAAATTCCTAAATCTGGGTGAACAGGCTATACTATCAAGCACAATTAGGACTTTCCAAGTAAAATTGCTTTTGTACCCTGCAAATGGATTTCAACACATGTATTGGCTCACCTAAAGCATAGCGATGGAAACGCTGCCTCTCACGGGCACTAAGTTGCTTATACCAGGCTCTCGTTCTTCTTCCAAAGAACACGGCAAATCCTTTGGCTGCATATCCGAGACGCACCCATAACCATGGTGGGATGAATGCCTTGCGCTGAGGTGATGAATAAAAGCAGCATCGGGATGGGTCACTTGGCAAAAATTTTGCGTGTTGCAATAAGGGGGATGCGCTTTGATACCATGTAGCAAACGTTCTTGTTCCATCCTTGACACAAGAAGACTTCACAACATGCCTCAAGGAAAGCATGCAGCCTTCATTTTGTCTCAAGGAGATGCTTGCAAACTTCCCGAGTATGGAGATGGTGATCATGGTTCAGAAATCAAGCTTGCAAGCATATAAGTAGGGCAATGAAGCCAAATCTATTGCACTTGTTTAAAAATATTGCAGTGAGTCCAAGCTTAAGCCCATGGAGCAGGACTCTTCTACTGAAGAAAAGAGCAATCAGCTTCAGCCACGGAGGCAGCGACGAGCTGCAGACGTCACCAGGAGCGACACCGACACTGCGAAACGAAAAAGGCACGACCCTGGCCAAATGAACTGTCACTTCCAATGCCATGTTGAAGAGCTCTTGACACAAACTGCATGTAGCTGAAGCATAACAAGCTCAGTGGGATGATCCCTGTCAGAACAAAGATGAGTCAATATTCCTTGCATTAATATCATCTGATTAGGCAAGATGTGAAATTTTCATTCATCACCATGCCAGAATGGTGCATATTGATACATTGGCCTCCCATGTAGTCTACAGTGCCACTGTGTCCAGACACCTTCATTCTTTGCTCAATTATTATGAGAATCATCCTTTAGGGGTATGGGATTAAAAAAATATATTAGCAAAACTTTCAATGAGGTTTCTTATTTTTTATTGAAATTCTGATAAGGTTCAGTTGGGTATTTAGAGGTGAAGTACAATATATGGCTTCTTGTTCATACATGCCTATCGTGTAATCACCAAACTGTACCCATCTGAAGAACAGCATCTTCTGAGACAAGAAATAGATCCTTTTTAGGAAACTGAGAGCTCAAACTAAATGTGATCAAAGCAGAAATGGTACGACGAAGTTCGTGTAAAAAATTATGCCAGTCCAGCAAGAAGAGACTTGTAACTTGTGTACAAGTACCGCCACTGAAGGTCTCAGTAGAAAACAGTGAAGAAAATTCCATGATATTCCCAAAGCCAGGAAGTTTCCCAAAGTTTTCTGTCAGTCTCAGAGCAGACTATAGTGTTGCTGATTCTGGACAGACTAATTCATATTCATATAATCCATATTCAAAGAATAAATGTAACCACAGGGAAGTGCCAAGTACTTCATGACCAAGTGTCACAAATACATTATTTTAGTACTTTGATCTCACACTTGACTCAAGTGCTATGAATGCTATTAATAAACTAAGTATCATAGTTTCAACTCAGGCTATTGACTAATAATTTACAGTTCTACCCTAGATGGCCTTATTTCTAGGTCACCATGGGATGGCTTATATATTTCCAGGGACGTCATGGTTCAACTGACTGGCAATTCAGTTTGCCACTGGAATGAAAAATAAAACTGTTATTAGCTTAACACTAGCATGTATGTCCATTAGACTTTGAATCATGTTCAGAGTTTCTCACAGCAAACTGAGACATGCAAATATACCTTGAAAAAATGTAAAATATGGAATAACAAAGAAAACTATGGGAAAACTTTTAATATACATCAGTGGAATCAACATCTAATACAATATAAGCATTCCTGAGAACATTCTGGCACCAATAACAAATTATGTCACGTCTACCTCCAACTGAATGCCAGAATTATGCTGATTCCTATCTCACCACTCCATCTCTCCCAGATGGCTCTTGCACACAGAAGTTCTCCTTCCAGTAGGGGTCATCAGCATGGAACTCATTCATCAGTTTATGCACAGGATGATGGACAAAGGAGTCATCAGGAATCATCTGACGAAGCACAAGCCACACAACATCGAGCTGATACAATTCCACGACACGGAGATCTCTGGCATTATTCAAACCAGGTACATTCATCACTGAACCCTGGTAAAACACATCGGGGTGCTTTGCTGTGGAAACCTGAACACTGTGGAGCTGGGGAGGCACTCTGCATGATGTACCTGAGGAGCATTTTCCAAGGGAGCAGAACAATGTATGGAGATCATGCTCACTGAGGTATCCAAAGCGATTCAACTTGATGATGTGTACTAGGGCCATCCCACTGCTGAGGGAAATGGGCTTAATGACATTTAGCATAGAAGAATTCGACTTTTGGCACTGTGAAATATCATAGGGATGTTTTTGATTTTGAATTGTTTCTGAAGAAATATAACTCTTTGAGATTGCAAATCCTTGAGAAATGAGGAAATCCTGAACAAATACATCTGATTCCATTGTAGTATCACAGAGAATCAAACTGTACTTTGACTTCTTTCTGGATGTCCCCAGATGTTTGGCAGCAAGAAGCTTGTCCTTTACAAAGTTGACGAAAATGGCTGATGCTTTTTCTGACCACTTTCCCAACGTCCCTCCCTTTTCAGCCGGTTGTATCAATGCTAGTTTCCCCTTCAGGGCTTGTGCAGGTAAAGCAAAAAATTCTTTCCTGAGCCACCGCAAGCTCGTCTGAGCAATACAGCTTGCAGTCAACCCATAATCGACAAAATAAATGTCACATTCCGCGTTGGGATGGACTTTGCGAATCACAGCTCTGTACCACGAGTTTTCTGGAGCATACAGACATGCTAAAACTTGATCTGGTTGGAGGAATTGATCGGGGATTTGGTACTGAAGTCCTAAGCAGCCACAATACAGAGCATCCATTCTGTCCAACAGAGTGTCAAGTTCTTGAACACAATTGCTCAGTTGGAAGTAAAACCTCTCAGGCGAGAACACTTCCCCGACGTACACTCCGAAGTGCTGGCCTGGCTTGTATGGCATGCCCTGCTCGATGTACATCTCCTTGGGTCCAACAACATCGGGAGGAATGGAAAGTGTCACTCTTGATTCTGATATCAACTCAGACACCTTTGCATTGACAAATTTGAGAGGGATGGGAACTCCTGCTTCAGTAATGCTGGCAGTTTCCACATCACTTATGGACTCTTGTGTCGATTCCTGAATGGCACTGGCAGAAGGAAGCTCCACTTGAGAACTTATTTCACACAACTCTCGGAATTCATTCACAGGTACACTTTCTGCATTGGAAACTGCATTGGAATGCTTCTGCACTGTTGTCATGGAATTTCTGACTGAAGTGTGTTGTTGTATAGAGGGTCTTTCAGGCATCTTCAATCCATTTTGTTTTGGGCTCACAAACTTGACAACATTGGGAGATCTGGTCTTCTCCAAAAAAATTCCCTCTGGCTCCAAATTCAATAATAACTCTTCCAGAGATGAGAATCCATAGTTTCGGACAGAAAGAGGGAATCCGGCACGGAAGAGCCACTCTTCGTGCAACTTGTTCACTGGAATACCCTCTGGTCCCCTTGTATTGAGTACTTCTAATACAAAATTCTTCAATTCCCCAGGAACAGATTTTTTCACCTGCCATGCCTCAGCCCGAAATCTCCCCCTGGGCTTAGTTGGTGTTTTGTAGCCAGGTGGGTTCTTCTTCTGCCTTTCTACCAAGCGCTTTATGTGGAGAGTCTGCTTGTCTGGAATGACCATGCACACAATACGCCCACCAAAATGCACAAGTTTAACAACCTCAGGAATACTCTTCAGGAAATCCAGAGTGCTGGTGAAACCCAGTCCCCGGACAGGTAAGGGTTTCCCCACAAATTTATCATATTCCCTCTCTAAAGCTCCAAGTGCCACACCATCGGGCTGTGTCATGAGAAGAGACCTCATCAAATTCTTTGTTTCATTTCTCAGAGACAGGGGATCAGCCATGCTCTGCACCAGCACCTTTGAAGCATGGAGAAACCAGCCATTCAACTCATTCAGATCTAAAAATAGCCTAATAGCCAAACTACCAAATCTTGAAGTAAGAGCAGCCAATAGGGTTGGAATTAGAATCACTTTCACTTGAGATTGGCACAGAAAATCTTGAATACAATGAAACTTCAATTAAATTTGATTTTAACTATATGTATACAGTGCATATGTGTATAATTGAAAATTTTCCACATAGAAATCAGTTGTTCTACAAACAAGTGTCAGTTTAGATCTCACTAATTCCAAAAACCTTTACAGCCTGATGATTTGGTTGTGTTCAGTTGCACACAAATGCTTCATGATTAAATTAGGCACAATAAAGTCATGAAAGGTTGCTGCCAATTTAACCCCTGGCCTACTGCATGAATCACCACCTAGATTAGGAAGATGCATTAATATATTTTGGGCATAGTAGAGTCTGGGAGAAACTTACATTAAAGCACTGAGATAAGAAATGTAGTCTTCCAAAGCATGCTATGACAGAAATGTATGATGGACCAAGCTCCGGGAATGGAACTTCTACAGCGGCGGTAGCCTCTGCTGAACAGGCACCACATGTCCCCAAACTTAGCTGTGACCTGGCAACAAAGTCAGCTGTTTTTTTAAACACTATTTCTGGCTTTTTGATATGTAGTTGTGGCTGGGGGTAGCATTCTATGAGCTCCATCTGCATAACTATGCTATTATCTGACCTTTTAATGCCAAAATTTGCAAATTATACACCTGAAACTGTGTATTTACATGCATATTTGCCGATTGAAAAAAAAAAAAAAACAGAAAGCTCATTTATAAAATCTCATCATTTTACTGAAGTACGTAGTAGTCGCACCAGAACTCTTGGAACCACACCCGGCCAGAATAGGATTACAGCTCCTAGTGTCTCCATAATCCCCTGAGCCAGGCCTAAACAGCGAAGAGCAGGGTCGCCACCATTGCGAATACATTTTACCGAGTTTCCAGGTGAGTGCACGCCTAATTCGATCCGAATGACCAGACTCGATCGACGAGGAACGAGCCATTTAGTCCGGGTGAGCGATTCACGCGACCGATCTGAGCTTGAAACACGTGAGGAGCCGCTGGACGACGCCATGACAGCCGAGGTTCCACTCTGCGTCGCCAGATGTCAGGAGAGGCGCACGATCGGCTGCGCTTGAACAGTCGAAGTGGGATTTCCCGCTCGGAGGATCCACCCGGTTTGTGTGGATCTCGCAGAAATTCTTCGTAGCAACTCTGCCCCGTGAATACGCTTCGGAGCTATCGCCTTCGAGCAACCGGATTTATCTTTTCCATTTTGTCCGCATTATGTGGTTTGCAAAAAAAATTTTGAGATTCAAGATAGTGATATCAAGAGGCGATTTCGCCCATTTCGATATCACGTGTCGAGGTTCCTTAATTTTAGGATAGGCCTAACCCTCTTAAAGCTATATATTTTTGTATTTTTGTTTTTTTTTTCCAATAATTTTTTTTTACTATCCTAGTTGCTTACTGTCTAGTCCCTAACGTCAACATTGCCCCCCACCTTTTTGTCTGTCCATAATAGCATCTAGTTTCTTCTTAAAGATAGTCACAGAATAGGGCCTGTAACTTCGCAAAACTGATCATTCTATCATGAGAAATTCACGAAGTCACTTTCCAACAGGCACGAAATCATCTTCGTTCCTCGGTTGTTAAGGAATCGCTTTCGAGAGAGAGAAACAGTCCAAATCGACAGAATGAAACGAACTCGCGCTTCCAGCTGGAATTTTTCCTTTGAGCTTTTCGCGTTTCCGAAAGCCAATTGGCACGGAAATTCCGTCGGAGAGCTCGAGGGATTCCGCGGAACTCCTCGCGGCACCGTCGAGGACCGCGCTGTCTACGCTCACACTCGCTAGATGTCACGACCTCCGGCGCGTTCCGACGGCGGGAAGACCCGAAAAGCACGTCGGCCCCGAGGGAGGGCGTTTTCCGGCTAGGTGTCGCCTCGAGCGCTTCCAACATGGCGGCGATGATGGGAGATCGCCGCGCGTTTTTTGATCGCTCGTCATCCTTGCAGCCCCTCGATTTTCAGGCGCGTTCTGCGTCGCGCCTTCGAAATGCCTTCGAAACGCCTTCGAAACGCCTTCGAAACGCCTTCGAAACGCCTTCGAAATGCCTTCGACGAGAGCGGATCGCTCGCGAGGAGGCCTGTGCCGAAGTCGAGTCCAAGCCAGTTCGGAGTTCTCGGGGTTCCCACGTGAGTTTCGTGCATGTTTAGGAAGCTATGAGAAGTTGGAGGAACTTCCAGGCTAGGCCTATCCGCCCGGAAGTGTCTCCCCCCCCCCCATTGACATTTCTTCGACCTTGTCAGGATGAAAAATAAAAAATAAAGATAAAAAAAAACGAGAAGGAGAGAACGGAATAGGCCTCAATCAGACGGACGACGAAAATTGGGTCAAGATACGCCCGCGTAATTTGTTTTTCTTGCATCTTCCAAGACAGATTTCGTAATGAAGGAATCGGACGAAGGGACTGTCATAATTTTGTTTGACATTTTAAGTTTTACGAAATTCATGTTTTTAAAAAGTTTTCAATCAATGTTTCATGCGATTTTCATATTGCGCAAAGATGGACTTTCCGGTCGGAACTCGTTTTTATGTTGCTTAATGGAAATGATTGCGAAAATTTCTTAAGAAAATTTTCTAATTGTCATTCGGAACCAATTTCAGTATATTCGGGAAGGACATTTACATAAATAAATGAACTTTTAAAACCTATTTTATATTATTTTTGACATTTAATCAGTTATCTAATACAAATCTGCAAAGTCGTTGGTGTAAACGCCCCTCCCCCCTCGGCCCCTCCCCCCTCGGCCCCTCCCCCTCGGCCCCGAGGTGTCTCCCCATCGATTAACGATTCTTCTACCTTGTCGGAATCAAAAAATCAAGAATGGCCCAACCGAAAAGGCCTCGGGCCCAAAGGAAAATGCGCACGGCGAAAAGTGGACCGAGGTGGGAAGGACACAACCAAGGGGGGAAGGGGGGAGGGGGGAAGGGGGTTAGGCAGAAAGGTGAAGGTCACGCCAATCACATGTAGCAACTCGCTTTTGTTAAAGTGAACGTCCTGCACATGTGACGCTACGGAATTGTTTTCTTCCGAAAACGAGAGGACGACAGTCAATGAATTTCCAGCTGCACATCTGCGCAGTGACATTTGGGCCGAGTCCAGAAATTCATTTCGTTAAATGGAAGTTTTTTTTTTCTAATCTCATGTCATGTCATCGCTAAGTGTTCAAATTCCGTTTCCACCATTTCATGGCATTTTTCTCCGTTTCATTTTCTTTGTCCGCGCCGTTTCGCTTTTTTCGTTGAGTACGTATATCTCTCCTGATGACTCGATGACACCTTGCATTCGGAGACATTTGAAAGATCATGTGAACTTCGGACCCCCCCCCCCCTTCCAAACTTTAGGATTGGTTCACTGTTCAATCGGATTTCAGAATGAAGGAATTGGCCTGTTATAATTTATTTCACATCCATGAAAGGTTTAATTTATGGGCTTTTTATGTCGCGTGAGCGCTTTGAAAACCGATGGACCATTCATGAGTAAAAAAAACCAAAAAAAAAAACCGAAGTTTGTGTGGAGACACTGTTCGCTGCTTCGACTCGCATCGGCCAGGTGTCGCACGCGTCGCCTGGGCCCGGTCCATTTCGCATGGACCGGGCCAAGTTGGTCTCGGTGGTCCGGAAGGCCTCAAGTAATTTCGGCTTCGCGAGATGAGAAATAATTTTAAAATTTCGAGAGTCGCTCAGAAATGCCTTCGATTTTTTTTTTTCTCAGCCAAATATTGATCTAAAAGCGTGCGAAACTTGAAAGTAAAGGTGTGGACATCCATCTGCGAACAGAAAGCTACTTTTCAGCCAAGTCCCTCCCTCCCCCCCCTCCTTCCCCCTCCCCCCCCTTGGTTGTGTCCTTCCCACCTCGGTCNCCCCCCCTCCCCCCCCCCCTTCCCCCCCCCCCCCCCCCCTCCCTCCTCTTCATTAACCGCACGCAAATGTCCATGGGCCTTCAGCCTTCAAATAACTCAATGATCACTCCTTGCTTTGTACGCACGTCAAGATCGGACGCCAACAGCTGCTGCCATCTGTCGGGGCTCGACGAAACTTCAAGGTCAAGGGTGGCAAGTTTCAAGGTTTCAGCAGGAAATTTTTCTCCGTCCGATTATCGCTTGTTCCAGGGAGAAAAAAAAATCGGGGGCATTACTTTCTGAGCGATCCTCGTAATTAATTAATCTGAGTGAAAAAAAAAAAAAACATTTAAAAAAATGATTTAGTAATTTAATGAATCTTAATCTCGATACTTTCAAAAATGCTAACTTGGTGGCTCTGGGTCTCACAGCTGATTGGGGACGCGAGCTCCCGCCAGATGGCATTGACTGCGGCGGCTGGTCTAAATGCGCCCTATTTGCGTTGCATTTTTTGTTGGCGATTTTCGTTCGAGAGAAATTTATCAAAATGAAAGTAGGAATTAATTAAATTATGCGTGCGGCTTCGATCGGAAGCTTCTCGCACCGTTCGACCCGATTTCTTTTTTTTTAAGCCTCTTCGAACAACATTTGCATGCGGTGGTGCCATGCCCACGATTCCGGCCAGAAGCTGCAGAAGACGAAAAGACCCTTTATTCCGGTGTTCGGTGTCCATTTGGCACGCGCCAATTGGCACTAATCGAAGAATAGCGTGAACTAAATTGGCTGAATTCATTCTGTTCTCGCTCCGACCGCCTCGTCGCGATGTTGTCGTCCGTGTCGTCCGTGTCGTCCGTGTCGTCCGTGTCGTCCGTGTCGTCCGTGTCGTCCGTGTCGTCCGTGATGACGACACTAGCCCGTCCGGATCCGCGAAGGCATCCGCCACGACACATTATTTGCACCATTCATAAACGCCTCTCTCGATGAAACACCTCACCATAAGCGGTAACCAATCCGTGTCGAATATCAAGCGGTTTCGCACCTGCGAACAAAAACCTCTCACAACCCTCCTTGCTCCTTGCCCCTTCATTGAAATGGCCATCCTTACCAGGTTACGGTGCCTTTCATATTCCGCAAGCAGCAGGACCGTATCTAGGATTTCATTTCGTGGGGGGGGAGGGGGGGGGGAGGGGGGGGGGGAGGGGGGGGGGGGGGGTTT